TTGAACAGAAGAATGAAGCACTATATTTGAACAGGAAGGAGGAAGACAAGTTGATTGGGAAAGACAAGGGAGCTGCACCAGTTAAGCCTCAGACTTGGGGAAATGGTTTTAAGGCAAAATCTGGTAGTCCTTGGTCATTTCAGAATAAGTTGTTTACAGAACACAGGAACAACAATTCTGGGAGTGATAAGGGAGGAGGTACCGGATGAGGGCAGTCCCATGGTTACAGAATATGAAGGGTAGGGTCTCAGTTGTCTCAAGATGAGTTTCAGGAAAGGAGTAGAAAAGGATTATGCTTCAAATGTGGGGAAAAGTGGAGTAAGGAGCATACTTGTAAGCTAACGAACTACAAGTTGATGCTTATTGAAGATTCGGATGGGGAAGAGGTACCAGATGAGGGCAGTCCCATGGTTACAGAACCTGAGGAGGCAGTTGAAATGGAATCTAAATCAATGCAGTTGTCTCTCATGAGCAGGGAGGGGATACCTACTATGAGAGCTTTCAAGGTGATGGGAACTGTAAAAGGGGAAAAAAGAGATCAGTTGGTAGAGGTGTTAATTGATAGTGGGGCCACACATAATTTCATCTCTCAAAGACTGGTAGAACAACTGGGATTACCTTTTAAAATCATACCTAGTTACAAGGTTCAAATTGGTAATGGAGAAAAGGTAGTTAATAATGGAAGATGTGAGAAGTTGATGCTGAGTTTGCAAGGTACAGACCTTAAACAGGATTTTTATATCCTTAATTTGGGAGGTACAGATGTTGTATTGGGTATGGAGTGGCTGACTAACCTGGGGATGTTGAAATTAATTTCCAGAAACAAACTATCAAGTGGCAGCAGTTGGGACAAGGTTTGTCTATTCAGGGAGATCCAAAATTGAATTGCATGGAAGTTTCTTTAAAAACTATGTCACAAATCTTACAAGACAATGGAGATGGTTATTTTGTATATTGTGAAGGGAGTACACTGAATATGAAGAATTGTGGGGAGCTGGAACCTATGTGGGAGCAGATTTTGGCAGAATTCCATGAAGTTTCTCAACCTTTGGAGGGGCTACCACCTATCGGAAGCTCTGATCATTCCATAACCATTCAAGAAGGAGCTAATATACCTAATATTAGACCTTACATATACCTCATTATCAAAAGACTGAAATTGAAAGGATTGTGAAGGAAATGCTAGATTCTGGGATTATTCAAAACAACACTAGTCCATACAGCAGTCCAATACTCCTAGCCAAGAAGAAAGATGGTGGATGGAGGTTCTGTGGAGATTACAGAGCCTTAAACAAGATTACAGTTCCAGATAAATATCCTATTCCTGTCATAGAAGAATTACTTGATGAGCTTGGGGAGGCCAGAATTTTTTCTAAATTGGATTTGAAATCTGGTTACCACCTTATTAGAATGAAGGAAGAGGACAGGAAGAAGACAGCTTTCAGAACACATGAGGGACATTATGAATACTTGATGATGCCCTTTGGTTTGACAAATGCACCATCTACTTTTCAAGCTCTTATGAATCAGGTTTTAAGGCCATATTTGAGGAAATGTGCCTTAGTTTTTTTGATGATATCTTGGTTTATAGTAGATCTATAGAAGAGCACAAGGAACATTTAAGAGCAGTTTTATCTGCTTTGAGGGATAATCAGTTGGTGATTAACCTAAAGAAATGTTCTTTTGGGCAACCTCAATTGATCTACTTAGGGCACATCATCTCTGGAGAAGGAATCAGGGCTGATCCTACCAAGATAGAAGCAATGGTTACCTGGCCAGCACCTAAGAATTTGAAGGAGTTAAGAGGTTTTCTAGGGCTGACAGGTTATTATAGAAGGTTTGTTAAGGGGTACAGTAAAATTGCATTACCCCTTACACAACTTCTAAAGAAGGATGGCTTTCAATGGGATGAAAAGGCCTCACAAACTTTTGAAGAATTGAAGAAGACCATGACTACTTTACCAGTTCTAGCAACACCTAATTTCAATAAAACATTTACCTTGGAAACTGATGCTTCTGGAACTGGGTTGGGAGCAGTTCTAATGCAAGAAGGGAAGCCAATAGCCTTTATGAGCAAAGCTTTATCAAAGAGAAACCAAAACAGATCTGTTTATGAAAGAGAGCTTCTGGCCATTGTTCTGGCAGTGCAGAAGTGGAGGCCCTATTTGTTGGGCAGATCATTTGAGATTCTGACTGATCAGAAAAGTTTAAAATTTCTAACTGAGCAACGGTTAATGGGGGAAGAGCAGCAAAAATGGACTTCAAAGTTATTGGGGTATAATTTCACTATCAAATATAGACCTGGAATTGAAAACAGAGCTGGTGGTGCTTTGTCCAGGAGACCTATACTCCAATCACTATCCATTGTGACATGCCAGGAATGGGAAGGCTTGGAGGAAGAATTGGAATCAAACCCTAAGTGTACAGATTTGATTCAGAAGGTGATTTCACATCCAGATCTGCACACTGAATTTCAGATGAGAAAAGGATTACTTTACTACAATAACAGGCTGGTTTTACCACAAGGATCCCCCAGAATAACCAAACTATTGAAGGAGTATCATGAATCTGCAGTTGGAGGACATTCTGGGTATTTTAGAACCATGAAAAGGATTTCTAATCTTTTCTTCTGGCAGGGAATGAGAAAGGATATTAAGAAATTTGTGGAAGAATGTGAGGTTTGTCAGACAAATAAGTATCAAGCTCTCAAACCAGCAGGGTTGATACTATTGGTGGACTGCCTAAATCAAAAGGGAAGGATACTATTTTGATCATTGTGGACAGGTTGACCAAATATGCTCATTTTGTGGCTTCATCACATCCATACAATGCTAAGGAGGTGGCAGATATATTCATCAAGGAGATTGTCAGATTACATCATCATTTTCATTTACCCCAGTGCCGCAAAGGCTCCCACCTACGGTGGGGTAAGGGGGGGTCGGATGTACGCATTCTTACCCCTATACTAAAGCACAGAGAGACTGTTTCCGGATGACCCATAGTGAAAATCGCGTCCAAAATTGCATGGACTGACTGCTGCTTCATTACAAAGAAGCGCAGACAGTTTACTGAGCCATTTTTCTTTATTCCATGATTGTCAGATTACATGATTTCCCTAAAACCATTGTTAGTGACAGAGACAGTGTATTCTTAAGTACGTTTTGGTCAGAGCTTTTTAAGTTGGCTGGGACTCAGTTGAAGTATAGTACTGCTTACCATCCTCAGACTTATGGCCAGACTGAGGTGGTTAACAGATGCCTTGAAACCTATTTGCGTTGTATGGCTGGAAGAAAACCTAAGAAATGGGTTCAATGGCTACATTGGGCGGAGTATTGGTATAATACCAATTATCATGTTGCCTTGAAAGTTACTCCTTACAAAGCTCTCTTTGGACAAGATCCACCTGCAGTAATTAGAGGGGATGTGACTCTAACTGCTGTAGAAGAAGTTTCCAAGTTGACTGCCTAGAGAAATATCATTTTGGATGAGTTAAAAGAGAATTTGGCCAAGGCCCAGAATCAGATGAGACAGCAGGCCAATAAACACAATAAACACAGGAGAGAAGTTCAGTTGGAGGTGGGAGAGAAGGTTTACTTGAAGATACAACCTTACAAGCTAAGAAGTTTAGCTAAAAGGATAAATCAAAAGCTCAGCCCCAGATATTATGGCCCCTTTGAGATAATTGACAAACTAAGTTCAGTAGCTTTTAAGCTCAAATTACCAGATGACAGTAAAATTCATCCAGTTTTTCATATATCATTGCTCAAAAAGGCTATCTCCCCTACTACCTTCTACCAGCCTTTACCCAATTGTCTCAGTGAGGAATTGGAGCTACAGGTAGTAGTGCCAGAGGATATTTTGGATACAAGGGTTGACAAAGATGGAAATGTGGAGGTGTTGGTACACTGGAGCAATCTGCCTAGCTTTGAAGACTGATGGGAATATTTCTTATTACTCAAGGAGCAATTTCCAGAGCTTCACCTTGAGGACAAGGTGAATTTTCAGGGAGGGAGCAATGATAGACAAGGAGTAAATCAAGCGGTTCAGTTTTACAATAAAGTCTATAAAAGGAGGAAGAATAGGGCAGTTAATAATAATGAGTAACTAATGAGTCTGTTAGTTAGTTAGTCAAGTGTCCCTGCGTGGACTTTTACTATAAATAGAAGGAGAATAAGCTAGCAGAGGAGTCTGTCATTTTGGCTAGAACTGGGCTTGGAGATTGGGCATCTCGAATTGTCTACAGCTTATATACTTTCATTGGGTAGAATAAAGTGTGATATGTGTGTTCTTCGATTGTATATGTGAACTCTGAACCAGTAATATCAGTGATCTATCATTTCATAATCCTGCAAACAGTTCGATATTGGGAAGGAAAAGGTGCAAGAAAGAAGAAAAAGCCGAAGATAGTGGCTGTCTCCTACCGCCCACCTTGAGGGCAAGGTGGATGTTTAGGGAAGGAGTATTGATAGGGATCGACCTATGTTAGGAGAATTGGGCGTAATAGAATGTTAGGATTTGGGCCTATTAGAGCAAGAATGATAATAAGTGTATTAGATTAGTATAAATAGAAGAAACTGGGAGAAGTAGAGAAGGCTGTTTTAGACGTAGTCTTGGGACTTGGGAAGATTGAGATTCTATCTCTCTCTTTTGGGGGGCTTCGGCTCATTTGGGGGCTTCGGCCAGAATTCTTGTTCATCGCTAATAAAGTTTGTTGTTGTTTCTTTGAATTGTTGTTCATCTTTCTGTTAATTTTCTGTATACCTGGAGAAACTCTATCAGTCAAACATTATGTTATACATACAGCAACATACTTTCGAGAAAACAAATGGAGCCTTAGCGTCAAAGACCTAAGAGCTCCACAAGTGAGGTCTTAGGTTCAGAACCACGTCCCACCCTTTCAATGCACCAACAGGCAACAGGCCACAACCCAAAAAGGACCAATACAAAAAAAAACTGGGAATGGAATATCACACAAGAGATGAATAAAGAGAGAAGCTTACTTGCCAGTGCTTGGCGATATGCTTGAACAAATGCTCTTGCCATGATCCCAGAACCCATCACAATCAGCTGTGCAATAATTCTAGCTGCCTGTGACAAAAATAGATATCAGAAGCCCTGGGTCATATCTGCTTTTTCAAATCATCCCTGCAACATTATCTACTAGTAGATTGGAAAACACTAAAGTGGTGGGGGTTTAAGACCTAAAATGGAAAAAGTAGTATAGTATCATGCCTCATGACTATTGACAAGACATTCTGTTTTAACACATCCTTTGAGGTTGATGAAAAATGTCCAAACTGTATATCCTTCCAGACAAATTATTTATATGCATAAGTTCAAAGTTTAAAAAGTATCTGTTGTGTTGTATGGAAACACACCATCCAGATTGCTTCAGTTTTGTTGCATGCACGTGTAAACAGTTAGACTTTCATGTTAGTTTCAGTTTTTGTTTCTGACGCAGTCAGACTTCGCCTAAACGTGAAATATTAACGGTATACTAACCACCCAAATTCGCAATTCTCTTACGTCGCCTTTTACTCAGTTCAAGCATTCGGAGTCCTCCCCAAAAACTACTAACCGTATCCAAAAACCTTTGATCCAACATGCTTCAGAGGGGCAAAAGTACAGTTCATGCATAATGGAGGGACTAAAATGCTTTTGCCCTAATCAAATAAAACAGCTTTAGATCTCAAGCATTTTTGAAGTTCTTTACTACTTTACAGTTCTATTGAAATAAAAAGATGTGGTGGAACTTAAGAGCATGAAAAGTTCGATCATCCAACTAAATTTCTGCAATGAGTAATCTGTTGAGATTCCTATTTCATATTTATAAAATTTGAACCAAGATAGTCAAAAGCGAGTGCCTGGGCGGTTAAGCGCATTAGGAGAGGCGCATATGACTCTTAGCGCCTCTAAGGCTGCCAGGCGCAGGTACCTGACTGAGGCGCATCTTTTGCGATACCTCGATCACAAAGAAAATCCACTCTTCATTTTCACCCTACTCTGATTCTATGGGATACATCTCCATCTCCTTGCCATCAAGGGTAATCCCACGGTTACTACTACTTCTACCTCCACCAAACTTGCGCCCCATATACTCAATTTGCTTCAACAAAGAGAATTGGACCAGTATCTAATTATGTTTTATTTTAAGTTTTATTATTTAAGCTATGAATTGTGAATTTGTTTTTTTTTTGTTTTTGTTATTGTAAGCCATTACTTTGGTGAATCATGACTTTGTTTTTTAGAAACATGACTTTTTAATGCATTTGGTTCAAATATGGTGTTACATACATCATTTTTTATAATTGTAGAATAATATATGTAATATTTTCTAAACAATGCGCCTGACATGAGTCTTTTTTTACAGAACCTGACATGAGTCAGCGAGCGCTTTTTTGCGCCTTGCGCCAGATAGCCCTAGCGCTTTGAGTGCGCCTCGCGACTTTACTACCTTGATTTGAACGTGAACAATTAGAATCCCGGGTAATAACTAAATGTCCCATTGTCATTCAGAACAAGTCATCTACTCTATCTGAGACCAAGAATTACATAAAAAAATACTACGTGTGGGCAGTGTAGATAGTGTACATCGGATTTTGTACTTGCATAGTTAAATTTCCTTGCTCCTGAAAGCGTCCACTCTTGTTCTGACACATCAAAGCTACTAATCCATTTTTTTGTGTTTGGACTTTGGACAAGCCCTGATGCCTTATTGCTAATAGAAATTTTGAATAAGCAGAATAAAAAATCAAGATGGCAATCATCTTTTAGTTATATGCCATTTTGAGGGTCTGAATACGGAAAACACATTGGAAGAGCGCAGACTAAAGCGTAGGAAAGTGTTTGCAAGAGTATCCATTTATATAATTAAATTAAAAAAGAGAAAATAACTTTGAATAATATTATCTATCTTCCATGAACCAAGAATAATACATACTTTAGAAATAACTTTTAATAATACCAACTATCTGAATGTAAACCAAAAATAAAATAGAGACGCTTTTCTACAAGAAATCCAGCCTTTTAATACATCAAAAACTAATATCAAAACATCAAATAATTGATATTTTGAAATACGGTCACTTATTTGATATTTTGATATTAGCTTTTGATGAGTTAAATAACTGAATTTTTAGTGAAAATTTGCTATATATCACTTTTTGATATATATTCAAATAGTAGGTATTATTAAAAGTTATCTCTAAAGTTCGTATTATTCTTGTTTCATGAAAGATAGTTGGTATTATTTTAAGCTATTTTCCCATTAAAAAATTCATGCTATCATGAGCTACAAAATAGTGTATTTATGTGACTTCCCATTACGGTGAAGATTGCAATATATGAATGGGCATGCACACAATTACACAAACTTTTAAACAAATATGAATTACACATTCTAATATCACTAGCAATATGGATCAAATTTATTAGTTCCTAAATAATCTAACACCCGTTCAGGTACATCCCAAATTTATTACTCCATTTCCTATTAAGGAAGGTAATATGTGGTTAATACAATTTCTCTAATCCATAATTAAATATTAACCACACGATTTTCATGATCATCAATCTCGCGTCAGGTTAGACTGTAAAAGTATATGTGATATAGGGGCAGAGTGAGTACCGATCAAAATGCATCCTGAGCACAAGCGAACATAACTAATTCTATAGTATTTTGCATACATTTGGAAGAAAGGATGGGTATGAATGTATGATATACCATTGCTAAAAATCTGACGATGGAAGCAGCAGCAGAATTAATAGTCAAACTGCAAAAGAAAGAAAAGCAAATGAGATCTTGTTGAATGCTCATTTAGTCTCTAAATTTACAACAAGTAAATAGAAAAAGAAAAAATATGGTTCATTTCCATTGCATCGGACTAGCCTTTATGCACAAGAAGAGCTAATTTTGAATAAAATGAATGGATGCCAAATATCTTACCAACATCTAGGAGAAAAATCATTTCCTACAATAGCAAGTATGGGGAAACATTATAATTGTACAATATAGGGAGATATTTTATATAACACACATTCTAGGTAGGAATGTGATCATATAAAAGGATTCATTTCACAGTATAATAGGATGAAAAGTAAGGCATGCGATCGTCATCCAATGAATGTGTGCTAGATAGAAATGTCTTCCTTTAATGTACATTTTAATGTAGCTCTGGACTTGGGATTTTTTACTTGGATTGGAATTTTCTGATCTGATCTATAGTCTGGTCTGACAATGTCTGGTCTTTGTGTATTTTATAACTGTCCAAGTCTAGTCTAATTTGTTCTGATCTGATTTGGGACTGAAAACAGTCCAAGTAAAAACATCCTTACTTTCCCTACATTTAAAAGAATTGTCTGAATTGATCCCAAATTCCTTGTGTGGTTGGGGATATTGTGAATCGTGTTGATTGCACCCAAGTTCCTTTTTAAGATAGATAATTATTCTTACAGAGTTGAGACAAAAGTTGATAACTTGATATATACCATTCTTACACCACACCAATTGATATGTCCAAAATTTAATACTAGAAAGTAAGGAGACATGCTTACAAAACGTACAGCAAGATAAATAAAATACTACATTCAAAAAATTGATTAACCAAGTAGTTGGTAATTTGGTACTCCAGTCCCAAATTGTAAGATACATTTACTATTCACTTGGTCAACATAAATCACTCTTGATCTTTTACTTTATATATTAAAAGTTTGTGAATTTTGAATTATTTTTTGTAGCGAGTTTAATGTAGTTTTGAATATGTAAATTTTATTTTCTAAAACTAATTTGAGTGTTGAAAGGGATCAATTTGCTTTATCGTCGGTCAAACTTCGTAAACCGTAAAGTATCTTACAAATTAGGACGGAGGGAGTATAATATATTAATATTGTATACATTTTCCATGAAAAACACATTTTTCAGGCCTTTAGCTGAAGGAGCTAAAATCCGTGTATCAAAAAGTCGTACTTCTAATTTTTAAATAATTATATATCAATTGAAAAATGAGAAAATCTGCTTCCTGAATCAATTCCCCCTCTCCTTCACCTCTACTAAATCAGAGCATTGGGAGCTGGAAAACTGTCAGCGCCTTTTAAGCTATCAAGGTATAAACTTTCGATTTTGAACAGTTTACTGTATAAAGAAGATAAGTAATTTTGTCCGTTATTAATTGTAAAAGGAACACTGAAATCAGGTCTGCAATCTATGAAGAAGAACGGACACACCAAACCTGGGGGAACCGCGCGGCGTACACTCGGGCAGGTGTAAGATATCCACGTAACGTATGGTTGGCTGGATACGCCGGGGATGCGCACAAGCGGAGTTGGGAGAGTAGATTAGTACTGTTTTTTTTCCTAGGCCGTTTGCCGGGGGCTAGGGTTCGGTCTCGTTCAGCAGCAAGTAATAACCTCACGATATTGTACTATTCAATGTGCGAAAATTTCTGAGTTTGTCATCACCAAACTCCTCTTTATATCGTTTGAGCTTTATATTGTTTGAGCTTGATGATGAATAATCAAAAGTAATTCTACATATTTGTAGCTAACATTAAAACTAGTCATCTGTATATCTATGATTACGAGGATATAAATTAGATTAGTGTCCTGATTACAAGCATGGATATTTACACTTGTCTATTTGATGGTTTTACAACACTCCCTCTTGAATGTTCATCCTTGAATATGTATTTGTTATTTTAAAACTTATTGTGATAACGTGTGTGAAAATTAAGGGGTAGAGATTACGATTTATAATGTCGTTGTATTTGGATATACTGCCTCGTTAAAAACCCGGTGGGATAAAACCTCATGGAAAAAAGAGTGCAGTGCATTCAAATACTCCTCCTGAACTTAGCATAAATTATGAAGACGACGTGTGACGATTTTCTGTACAACTTCTATGAACTTCTTCGGGGGTAAAGATTTGGTGAAGAGATCGGTCGGATTTTCACTAGATCTGATTTGTTGGATGTTGATCATCTCTTCTTTCTCCAGATCATGAGTAGAGAAGATGTTGGGTTAATGGCCCAACGAGGAGCGGCCCACCAACCCATAAGAGCCTCCTACGAACGGTCCAACAATCCACAGGGGCTTTCCGACGGACGACCTGTTGGAAGCCCAAGCTGAGGGGATACTTGTCCGCTGGTTAGGGAGGAGATCCACCCTCAACAGGGAGATAAGTCTCAGGGGACGTACGTACCCCATGGTCAGCAGGTATCCAGGCCCAAGACTCCCCGCAGGGTACATAGGGACGAACGTCCCCGCCCTGTAGCAGGGGAGGAGGACTCCCGCAGGAGACAGGAGCCAAAGCCTTGGGGACGAACGTCCCCTCCCCATGGCGGGAAACCAAGATCCTGGCGGGAAGCGCATTTAATGCAGAAGATTTGGTGGTTGGGATCATGTCGCCCACAGCCAGCCACGTCGACACATCCAACCACTCATTGTGATCTTAAGGAACGCGATGGCAACCTTCCAGAGGATGATCGGGATATTGTTCAAGGAGGTCCTTAGCAAAATTATGGAGGCATATGTGGGCGATATCTTGATTAAAAGCAAGAAGAAGGAAAGCCACAACCAGAATATGGAGAACGTTTTCACTATCATGGAAGGGGCGAACATGAGATTGAACCCGAAGAAGTGTGCCTTTGCTGTCAAAGGGGGAAGTTTCTTGGCTACATGATGAGTGAGCGGGGGATTGAGCCTAACCCGGAGAAGGTAAAGGCCATCATGGAGATGGAGGCACCCAGGAACTTGAAGGAGGTACAGAGGTTCACCGGGCGCCTGGCAGCGCTGAGCAGGTTCATGTCAAAATTGGCAGACCGGGCGATTCCCTTTTTTCAAATCATGAAGAAAGCCAATCCTTTTGAATGGACCCCAAAATGTCAAGCGGCATTTGAAGATTTCAAGACGTACCTCTCCTCGCCGCTCGTCCTCACCAAGGTGGACCCCGGGGAGCAATTGTACATGTATTTAGCGGTGGCCGATCTGGCAATGAGCTCCGTTCTATTAAAAGAAGAAGAGGGCGTTCATCGACCTATATATTTTGTGAGCAAGGCGTTGAACGGCCCAGAAACGAGATACACACTGATGGAGAAGACGATCCTAGCTTTGATCGCATCGATCAAGCGCTTGGCACCGTACTTCCAAGCACACCAGGTAACGGTGTTCACGACTCAGCCCCTCGCTACCATCCTCAAGAATCCTATGGCGAGTGGAAGGATTACCAAGTGGTCCCTGATGATTGGACAGTACAATGTGGAGATCAAACCGAGGCCGACAATCAAGGGGTAGGAACTGGCAGATTTTATCATCGAATGCACGACACGAACTGAGGACGGGATTCCTGGTGGCAACGATTTTGACAGTTAGTGGGAAATGTACACTGATGGGGCATCTAGTGCAAGGGATGTGGGGGGTGCGGTTATCACTTCCCCCGAAGGCTTTAAGGGTTACTATTCCATGAAGTTTGATTTCAAAGTTACCAACAACGAGGCCGAGTATGAGGTGCTTATTGTGGGTTTAAAATATGCAAAGGCCCTCGGAGCAACTCGTCTGAAGGTAAGGATGGATAGCCAGCTGGTGGTCACACAGATGAACAGCACCGCCGAAACCAGGGAGGAACGGATGAAGGCCTACAAGGAGCTGGTGGAGGAGCAAACCGTGCAGTTCGAACAAGTGATCGTTGATCTGGTTCCCCGAGTAGAGAATGTCGAGGCTGACCGCTGACATTCTATCCAGGCTAGGCAATCCTATACCCGAGGATCAGGCGACGTCCATCCTCGGACACATCAAGGGTTTCACCCGGCAGGAGGTGTTCCTTCAACCAGCAATGGAGACCATCCAGGTACATGTTGTTTCTTTTGGAGATCCTAGTTAGGTGAAGGAAGTGACTGATTATCTCAAAGATGGAACCCTTCCCCTTGACAAAGATGGACGAACTTTGAAGAGCGGATTGAGGAACCAGAGAATACTTGCAGATGAACTTTGAAAGCAATAGCGAACAAGGTAGGAAAATGAAAGCTCTAATCCACACGGAAAGCCCAATATTTAAAGGGAGGGGCGTCTTACCCCTATCCAATCCATGTATGACGTGTGGCGAGGAGTGTACCCATGGACACGTGTCACGCGGAGACAGACAGGCACGCAATGATTACACTTTCATCGGAAGTTGAACCGGCCTGCATAACCGTCACCTAGAGCCCCGTGAACAACACCCGGAAAAGCAATCGTCGCATCAGGGACATCGGTGGGGCGGTACATTGAGAGCCTTTCTACTTCCTTATGTCTCGAGTACGCTCAGAACATCAGAAGTGGGGGACTTGTGTTGGGTTAATGGCCCAACAAGGAGCGACCCACCAACCCATAAGAGCCTCCAACGAGCGGCCCAACAATCCATAGGGGCTTTCCGATGGATGTCCTGTTGGAAGCCCAAGCTGAGGGGATACCTGTCTGCTGGTTAGGGAGGAGATCCACCCTCAGCAGGGAGATAAGTCTCAGGGGTCGTACGTACCCCATGGTCAGCAGGTATCCAGGCCCAAGACTCCCACAGGGTACATAGGGACGAACGTCCCCACCCCTTGATAGGAGACCAAGAGTGGCTCAAGGAATTGGTCAAGGATAACTCAAATACTTGGGGACGAACGTCCCCGCCTTGTGGCAGGGGAAGAGGACTCCAGCAGGAGATAGGAGCCAAAGCCTTGGGGACGAACGTCCCCTCCCCATGGCGGGAAACCAAGATCCTGGTGGGAAGCGCATTTAATGCAGAAGATTTGGTGGTTGGGATCATGTCGCCCACAGCCAGCCACGTCGACACATCCAACCACCCATTGACAGTATAAATAGTAGCATTTATTTCACAGTAAAGGGTTCGCAATTTAGCACTCTAGCACTCTAACATCTGTATCAGCACATAGCATAGCACTGTATGAACGACCCTTCAGCTTTGTAATCGTCTCCAGTGAATAAACATTCATTATTGGGCCCCTTCCTTGTTTGTTCTTCATCTCACTTGTCCATCATCCACTCGAGACCCTTAGGGTATGTGTTGGGCCTACGGGTTGAAGGAAATAAACCTCAACAAAAGAATTTAGGTGATATGTGTTATGTTATGTCTCCTTTGATGTAGTCTTCTTTAATTTGAGCTATGCATACAGTGTTGCCTTCGTAGATCACAGTATGATGAATAGTAATGGGCTTCATACCACATTCATTTTGGATGTGTTGAATCATAGATTGCAGCCATACGCATTCTCTTTCGATTTCATATAGTGCAATTAACTCAGAATGATTTGATGATGTGGCTGTCAATGTCTGCTTCATAGATCTCCACGAGATTGCAGTGTTACCATAAGTAAATATGTACCCGATTTGTGATTTTTCCTTTTGAGGATCTGACAAGTATCCGCATCTGCATATCCGATTAAAGTGGCTTTTGCATCTTTATGGTAGAATAGGCCGAGATCAACTGTACCACGAAGCCTTGTTGGGCATGAGTTGTACCTAGCTATTAAATTTACATAAAATGCAATATCTGGTCTAGTATTATTAACTAAAGGCTAAAGGGTCAAATAGGTCCCTGTACTCATATCAATAGCTCAATTGGGTACCCGAACTAAAAAAGGTCCAATCCAATCCTCCAACTCTTCAAAATCGTTCAATTTTTTCGTTTTTTCAAAGGCTAAAGGGTCAAATAGGTCCCTGTACTCATATCAATATCTCAATTGAGTACCGGGAGTTTACCGGCTAAACGAAAAAATTGAACGATTTTGAAGAGTTGGGGGATTGGATTGGACCTTTTTTTAGTTCGGGTACCCAATTGAGCTATTGATATGAGTACAGGGACCTATTTGACCCTTTAGCCTTAACTAAATACATTAAATCTCCAATATCACTCAGATATGGTACTTCAGGAACGAGTATTTTTTCGTTGTCTTCTCGGTGATGGAATGGACCATCGTGTATGTTGAGAGATCTAATCACCATTGCTGAAGTCAACGGATGAGCTTTGTCCATATAGAATCTCTTCAAAACTTTCTCGGTGTAATTGGATTGATGGATGAAAATTCCATTCTTCAAATGCTCAATTCGAAGTCCGAGACAAAATTTGGTTCTCCCAAGATCTTTCATTTCAAATTCTTTCACAAGATATTTTGGAGTATTTTCAATCTCACCGGGAGTTCCAATAATATTTAAGTCATCAACATATATTACAATTATGGTGAATCCCGAATCTGATTTCCGAATGAAAACACATGGACTAATTGGATCATTCGTATATCCTTCTTTAAGAAGATATTCACTGAGACGATTATATCACATTCGTCCAGATTGTTTTAGTCCATACAATGACTTCTGTAATTTAATGGAAAACATGTCTCGAGGTTTCGAGCTATAGGCTTCAGGCATTATAAATCCACCGGGAACTTTCATATAAATGTTTGTATTGAGTGAACCA